ACATTTCTCAAAGCCTCGGCTGCAGCCAGGATGGGACCAAAGGCTCGGTCCATCCTGCAGCTCGCACTTCTGCCACCGCAGCACGTCACTGCCCGTGTCCTCTCTGTACCCCCCGACTTACACTCACTGAGGACAGAGCCAGGGCCGCTACGAGGATTTCTCAGCCTCGGCACCACCGACGTGTGGTGGGGACTGTCCTGTGCATTGCAGCATGTTTAGCGTCACCCCTGGCTTCTCCCCACGAGCTGCCAGTAGCATCCTCACCCTCCGTTGTGACAATAACTGACAAAAATGCCTCCAAATATTGCCAAATGTCCCCCGGGGGGCCAAATCTCCCCTGGTTGGGAACCTCTGTGCTGGATCTAGCTGAGTGCCTTTTCCACACTGGGCTCTCAATAAATATTTGTAGAAGAATCCATGATTGATGGAAACGAAATGCTTACAATGGATTTAATGTACAAGCTGCAGAAAAATCAAGCTAATTTCTTTTGGCTTTAGTATCTCCTATAATGGCTGGCGCACAGCCGGTGCTCAGAATGTATTTATTGGGTGGATAAGTGTTCCATGATCATGGGCAGCTTCCTCTATCCCAGGTAAAATTCTTTCCCTCCAGAGGGCCCAGGTGAGGTGATGGGAAATTGTCATATTAGGGGGAGAAATTTTTTTTAAGAATAACAAAAATCTCTTAGCTGTGGGATTAGGTTCCATAAAAATACCTTGCTGGAAAGAGCATCATGGCTGTGCCCCCCCCAACCTTTCGCTCGCCATTTGATCATGGCATTTGGGGCAGAGATCAAATTCTCTGTAGTGGGCATACTAGAAACTACTAGAAACACCTCCCAGCAGGCTGGGATCCTTCCAAACGCAAACACCACACGGATGGGATGGGAGGCACCAGGAGGGTTCGGGACATCGCGAAGGTCACACATTTGGTCCTTGGCGTCGGAGCTGGGAAGTGAGTCTGTGCCTTCCCGACTCCCTGTACAGTACTTGTTTGCAGTGAGTATTATGGATGCAAATGAAGACTTATCACTGTTGTGAAATAACAATGCACGCTAATGATATTCTTTATTGCCATGCTAACATTTTTTTGTTTCTGGAGGGAAAAATTATAGGCATGAAGCCAATTAAGCAACCTTTCTTTCTTTGTCAGGCTGTTTTAGTTTGCCTAAATGAAGATGTTCTCTGTGCTTACTGCTTAATAGTGCAAACTGATTTTTCTGTCTTGTGGGTCATGCTGAGGTGGATGTCAGTGCCGGTGCTGCCCAGTTGTTCCTGTATGAATGGAAATGGACTACACTGATACGTTATCTCACAAAGCACAGTCCTAAATGGGAAGAGCTAATGTTTTGAAATGAGTATGTAAGGGGCATCGTGCTGCAGAGGCCAGGTGCTGATGCAGGGGTCACCCTCGTCATCTCTGCCAGCCAGAGGCTGTGGTTGCCCCTTCCTGGTCACCACTGTAGGGTGGCTACCCTCCCACGATTGAAACGGTGACTCCAGAAAATGGCAGATGAACGTATGTGCTCTCTCAGCTTTAAACAGTTGTTCTTGACCCCCAGGTCTACAAAATATCTGCCACAAAACCCTTTCACGTGTGTCATGTCACATGTATTTTGTTAATGTCACTACAGTAACCAGAAAATGCCACCGATTTGTGTTTGTTTCATACACAAATGAGGGGACAGCTGTGGAGTCCACATGGCGGCCAGTGTCGTAATAGATGTGAGCCAGGATGGCCTGGGTCAGAAAATTACAACCCATTTCTATTAACCAGAACCTTCAAATAACAGGTCTGAGCTATAAAGAGTGTAAATGGAAGGTAATAAGCCACTGGAGGAGCAGTTTTCACTTCTCAGGTTTCAGAGCTGAACATTGGAAGTGAAGGCAGCAGCATGTATGGAGGAGGGGACCCCCAGCCAGAGTTGGCAGACCTTTGGCGGGTATCACTGCCAAGGTTAAGCCTGTGCATCTCGGGGAGGATTTTCAGTGTATTAAGGTTATAATGGCTCCCTCCAAGTTAAATGTTTAGGCTCCTTGTGGGACTGGAGGCATAGCTCCCACAAACCTAATCTCACTGATTAATGTAATTAGTCCTTCCTGCCCCATTCACCCTGTCATGTTAGGACTGAGGAAACCGAGGGGTGGCGGGGTGAGGGAACTGATTCAAGGTCACCCAGCTAGGACTAGATAGCAGCTCACTTACTGACCAGGTAACTGACATAATTGCTAATAGCATCTTATCTTTGCTAGGCCTTTTGGAAATAGTCAAAAAGTAAAAATACAATATGTCAGCCTACATATTGTTGCCTTTAGAAAAACACTGTAACATAAAATGGTATGTGTTTTAATTATTGAATCATATAGTTAACAGTCCTATGGGGTGGCCATAATGTCTGGAAATAGAGTCTATATTACTTTCCCATGTATTATAGTTGCACTGTCAATAAGCCATTGATTATGCATTTGTCTGTGTTTCGAGACATGGAGGCTGTGCCCTGTAATAAACCCATAAAGTAGGTGAACGATAATGGGCTAAAACAAGAAAATTCTAAAAGCAAACTATTTAAGGTTTGTAGGACGAATGGTTCCCTTGGTCACTAAAGTATTGGATTTTACAGATACGTTTATCCTTTGTCTCTATTCTGCACTTTGAGCCAAAATAAGAGACAGTGCATGTTTTCCTGACTTCATCTATGTAATTATAAATTCATCCTGAATAAAATATTAATCAAAGCTCTATTCATAAGTTAAAGCTACTTCCATTGTTCCCAGAAACCAAAATATGATTCTAAAATGGAATATGCTTTATCTCCAGATTGGCTTAACCCAAAATAGATGTTCAGCATAACAATTTTGGAAATTAAACACAATATTTGAGCAGCCTTACATTACTGCTCAATAGAATCATTCAAAGAATATTACTTTGTAGCTTAAAAACAAATGATAAGACAGCATTTGAAAGCCTAGTAAAAAATGGCATCCAGGTCCTGTAATTTATCCTCCTTACAGCTTATGGCTTACTGGCGGTGGCATAAAAAGCCCACCTTTCTGATTATTTACAGTCCTGCCCAGCGGGCTTGTGAAGGAGCATTGTAACTCTGCAGAGCCACCGTATCTAGTACCTGCCGGGTTTGTGCCCATCAGTGTCACTGCTTCAGAAAACGTGCTCATTTCTCCAGCAGTTCAGGGCACGAAGCCAGCCTTCCAAGGGTCTAACCAGAGAGATCAATGATGGCTCCCCTGCTTTTGGGGGGATCCCAGACCCCACCCAGAGCTACTTGTGTTACTGTTTCAATCCAGAGTCTGCCGTTGGATCTGGTCTAAGATCCTATTTAGCAGGGTGCTTTTTTCCTAATAATAAGTCCTTCTTTACTTTTCTTTACCAAGAGCTGAACGTTCATCTTCCCTTCCATTAGCCGGCAGAATGAAGGTGTCATGCAGGCAGGATGCTCATCAAAGATAAGTTCTTGCCAGTGTGAGGCTTGGGGCATTTTAAAGTTACAAGGTTTGTTTAAAAATACCTAGGTGATAACTTCACCATAAAATGGCTTATAACCTCATTTAGAAATGTCAACTGTATCTTCCAGTTAGCCTTCAATCCACACTGAAAACAGAATCCCAGGCCTAAGTCGCATAAGAGTTTATTATAATGATTCGTTACTTTCTGGGTTCTCAACAGCTCTGAGACAGAGAATCTGTAATCTTGGCTATCTAACATCCTCTTCCTTAAACTTGACTTAATTTTTCACCTCCTGGGAAAGTCCTGCCGTATGTGTAAAAGTCACTGAACCAGCAAAAATAACGTAAGGACATATGTACAATAGCAGAGGAACATCTGTTGCCCACCCCTCCCTCCCAAACCCTGTGCCCTCAAACAATGTTGCCTTTATAAATTTTTTTCTGGTTGTATTTTAATGTCCCTTTCAGTGAATATATAGACTACAGCGGTGAATGCTGTTCAGTGAATGATTCTTTTTCCTTCCAGTGTTTGAGAAGGACAAAAGAGGCCACTCGGCTGGCTTGTGAGTAGGTGAAACCCCCGGCTCACGTACAGCCCACAGCCCAGGAGGTGAGTGGTGCAGTGGTCTATTAGCTAGTGGAGACGAAGCACACATGTCCCTGCTTTCGGGTCATTGCATGACTGCCTCCCCATCCGTTGTTCTGTCCTGTGGCCTAAGAACCTCTCAGGTGACTGGGAACTTGGTGGTTTCATCACTTGCAGCTCTGCAAGTTTGGTGCCTTTACAACTAAAATAATTCTGACCAGACGGTGAACATCCTAGCGAGCTCTTCATGTGGGTCAGCGACAACTCTTTCCCCCTAGATTGTCCATCTCCGAGGACTGAGAGCAGCTGTGAGCAGGAGGTGGAATTACAAAATGAAAAACACAACTCTCAAAGTTGAGGGCTCAACTCAGAGATCACCCCAAACCACCAGAAGTGGATGAAAGTTACTGCCTGCTTCACATAAACACTTTCCTCACCAGCTCAGAACATCAGCCTGAATGTTGCCCCAAAACACAACCAGGTAACCAGCGAGCAGTACTTTGAGTTTCCAACACAACAGCTCAGAGAATTTCGCTCCTGAAAAAAGGTGTCAGCAAGCGATGGAATTCCCACGCAGGAACACTCACACTGCGGCCCTGTTCCATTTTCTTAAGGTCTATTGTTAACTAAGGACGCCTTGTCTTTTCAAATTCCTCCATGTGAATGGATGAGGCCAGACATCTGCCAGGATTCGCTCACATTTGCATGCAGATCAGAGCCTTGGGGACACACGAGGCCCCAGGGCCAACAACACCACTTTTACTCTAGACGGCTAAGGACCCAAGTACCTTCCTGAACTTTCCACCCCTCTAGTCCTGGCTCTTAAAAGTAAATCAGGTGCATATCCGAGTAATATTCATTATTTAGACCGCCGGGGCAAAGCAAATTGCAAAAACAAAACAACATGCTGTCTTTCGGAAACCCTACAAGCCAAAGCCGGAGTCAGCAGTACCTGTCCCCCTGAGGAACCCCATTTCTCCTTTATCGTCTGGGTCTGGGAATGAGAATGCTGGTGGCGGCATGAGATTTCCAGAAGGGTCCATGTTCCTGGACTCTCGGCCTTTACCTGTGTGGTTCAAATGCCTCAAAATCATTTACCCCCCGGGGGCGTCCACTCACTCACTCAGTGCCTGCTCCTGGTGCCCGGCTGCAGAGGTGACCCCAGCAGGTGGGGATCCCCCTCTCCAGGGCAGGCACCACAGCCGGCCCTCTCCCGGTTGGCGCACCCAGGCCGGGTCCCTAGCCACCCACTGTCCCAGGACCCGTTCCAGCACCTGTCCCGGGTGCACGGCGCCCCTCCCCGCGGCGGGATCTTCCCAGCCCGCCAGGCAAGGGCTCCCTCCGCGGAGTCGGCGGCTGCCCACACCCCTCTCCACGCAGCACAAAGGACACTCGCTGGCAAACTTTCCTGGCTGCCCACCCGGCCGCGCGGGGAGCCCAGCCCGGGCTCGGACCGCGGCTTCCCTGGTATTTCATCATCCCTGGCAGCCTCCTGGGCTGCAAACCTGAGGGTGAGGTCTGTCCCCACTTAGACCGCCGACAGTGGAGTCGATTCCACCGCAGGCTCGGACTTGCCCTCACTCAGTGCCCTGTGAACCGCGCCCCCGGGCCCTGGACCCACAAGGCCGCCGCCAAACATCACCCCGTCTTCTTCCCGCATCACCCCGTCTTCCTCCCGCAGCCGGCCGCCTCCGTCTGCCTGTGCTCCGGACCAGCCCCGCTGCCCGCCCGACTCCGCGCCCCGGCACCACCCTCCCCCGCGCCGGCCCCTGAAGCCCGGCCGGCGCGCCGCCTTGTGCTGTTTCTGTCCGG